TTAAAGCAATAACGTCGCATCGAATGCGAAAGAAAGCCCAAACGCAGAGCCAAGAGAGCGAAAGAGAGTGAGTGCGCACCTATCATACCAATGGGAGAGAGCAGGACAGCCATCTGATATGTATTAAATGAAATTATGCAAATGAAGCCAAAGTTGAAAACGTCGCATAAACAAATCGCATTTGTATTCGATTGCGCAATGAACTGTTTTAATTTACATACACACATGGGTCGATTAAAGCGAATGATATATGTATGTATGTATGTATGTATGTATGTATGTATGTATGTATGTATGTATGTACAAAGTCTGCGCTTACATACACAGCGAAACCAATGAAATGGTGTTATTGCTGCAAATATATATTTTATTTAGTTTCTTTGCTTTCCACTTGAGTTTGAATTTAAACAAGATTGAACTGATAATTGAGTATTGTTTTTAAACTAAATAAATAAATAAAGTAAGGTATATAAAAATAATATATACAAATAAAATTAATAAAAAATTACTAAACTTATTAAAATCTCAATCCAATTCAATAAACCAAATATATTTGATATATTTCTAATATAGTAGATTAATAAACTTACTCTAAAGCTAATGATTCCCTTAAAAAAAACTTAATTCCATATTTCTAATCTATTTCTAATTTATAAAACGTGTATAATGGGTATTTCACTGGTAGGCTTTCAGCGTGTCGTCCCATTTTCAATTAGTTTGGTTAGCAAATAAAAATAATTGTTTATGTAAACCCGACGCTGTTATTAATAACTATTACTAACACGATATATGATCTGTGCTCAGCTACTCGTAGATTATATTTTTCTGTTAGCACGTTTCTGAGCTGCTAACTCGATCTGAGATAAAGTGTAAGTCATATGACTTACTGTCTGGAGGGTGTGTGCGTATGTGTGTGTGAGTGTGTGTGTGTGTGGAGGGGTCGCAATTGAAAACCGGTTTACTGCCCACAAAAACAGTTGATCTTTTTTTTTTTAAGTTTATTTAATTTTTGTTGTGTTTGTTTTCGTTATTTTTTGCTGTCATCGTCGTTAGAGTCAATCGCTGTACTTTATATGGAGAATGTTTTGGTTTTTACCGCTAACCGCAGGCAACAAGTTGAAAATGTGCTTTTGTGGTAATAGGTTAGCTCTTTAACTGACAAACACGCACACATACACACAGAGAGACTTACCTGTGTTACATGCATAGTTTGCATGCCATCAAGCCAGGCAGCAGCAGCAGCACTTGTCAGCATTGGCAACGGCCTCAACTCTTGCCGCTAGGCGGTGCCATGGGCTGGCAGCTTACAAGGCGTGGCACGCTGCTCTGACACCGATCTACTCGTGGCACATTTTCCATACCCATTTCTCTTATTCATTTGCCGCCTGCCATTCATCTCGGCTCCCGCTCTGCTCTCTTAGCGATGTCTCTCGCACTTTGGCCGGCGGCAACAATTTCTACAAAACTTTTCTTCTTCTTCCTCCTCTTTTTCTTCGCAATTGTTTTTGTTGCTGCCGTCTTGTTGCCTGTTTATGCTTAATATTCCCTTTTTTATTTGCACTGCCTGTTGTAGCTAGAATAGTTTCTCGTTTAGCTGACGTTGCCATTGCTGATACCCTAGACAGGCAGCCAAATGGGTTGTATTGGCCAAAATTGATTTCATTCAGAAATTTCGATATTGATATTTATGTGCAATCGCTGTGAATGCCTCAGTAATTGTTTGACTCGATGGCCCTAACACAAAGTGTGCTTTTGTAGTAGTTGGTAACTGGTGGTCGTTGCCCACTTTTGCTTTGGCTTCTTTCTCTTTCTGTTTTTGTTTTTTGTTTGATTGTCTTCTTGTAGCAGTTGCCAGTAGATTGCTTCGAAACTGGGCCAACGCTTGCTTATACGTAGTATATCCCAGCGAGCCTCGCCGCGCCCCACCCGCCTTCTACAATATGTCGGCTGAAGCACTTTACTTTTGTTTGCCTGCCCATCATGATGGGTGTCTTTGTGTGTGTGTGTGTCTGTCTGTTGTCTACTTTTGCTTCGATTTATATTTTATGTGTTGCACTTTTTGAAAGTTGAATCACATTTTGCAGCTACATGATACTTGTGCAACTGGCATCTGGTATCTTGTAGGCCGCTGCTGCTGCCGCTGATGTTGTCATCGTTTTTGTCTTTTATGTGACTCCTCTGTACGCCCACGCCCCATGCTCCATGCCCCATGCCCCACGCCCCTATCACAGCGAGCTCTGTGTCTGGCTTGAGGCCAAAAGCTTAGCCCACGGTTTTCTTGCTCTACGCACATGTTGCATGCGTGGAATTAGCCAGCCAGAAAATAAACTTTTGGTACACATCTTGTATATATGACTATACTATATATAGGTGCTCATACATATAGCGACAGCCAGTGCGAGAGATAGCACAAAATTTTAAAATAAATGACACACGCTAGATATATGTATGCATCTATATACATACATATAGATGTGTATATATCTGAGTGTATATGTATCTGCATATACTCTATATTTACCGTCTATAGCTGGGACAGTTCGATGACGCAAACTTGCTGCGAGACTTTACAAATATGCTGGCCATATACATTTGGTCAGAAGGACAAGTGCCAAGTGTTCTGAGACCTGTAGAGCGGAAGTGGAAAGGCTGCGGTTATGGCCAGCACTGTGCCGCGATAACCACACAAAGTCCAATCATCCGCCAATAACGCAATCATATCTATTCATATCTATCTGCATTGAAGTTGAGGCAGCTGAGGAACTAATTGACACTGAAATTGATAATAAATTTCGTGTGTTTGTTTGTGTGTGTGTGTGTGTTAATTAATAAAGCTTTGCCTGCCCTGGCAACACACACACACATTTAAAATCATAGAACGCCCACACACAATCATTCGCTGCATTTGGTTGAAGTTTTCTACACGTGGGCTCAAAGCAGTTATATACACAGGTTGGTTATATATACAGGTGTGTGCGTGAGTGTGTGTGTAACTGCAGTCTTCGATTTACCAATTAAGGTTAACAATAACAATAACAAAATCAAAAAGCATTYGAACAGTTAAGACCTGGCTGGTTCTTTTAGCTTTTGCCGGTTTTCAGTTACGAAAATGGTCATCAAATGCGTCAACAGGTTGCTGGGAAACTGCCCACAATAAAGCCATCAATGTGCGAGTGTGAGTGAGTGTGTGTGTGCTGGTCAGTGAGTCCATAAAAGGTTTTTATGTGTGCTGAATATGACCATAGTTATACGATGTGTGCATGTGTGTGTGTGTGTGTGTGTGTGTGTGTGTGTGTTTGACATACACTTAACGAATAGGCAGAAGCTGCATTTATATTACTTCTGTTGAATGAAACTTAAAACAGCTGCCCTTTTTTGGGGCTGTGGCAACAATAAAAAGAATCAAGTTTATATTTTTTTTTTGTAGATATTTGTTAATATCATATCACAGCTTAGTTGTCAAAGATGCTCAGAAGAGCCAGGAAGAAATGTTTAGCAGTAAACATTATGCAAAGTAACTAATTTGATATATATGTATATACATATTTATGATACAAGTATATAAATATATATACAGATATATACCATTATTCAGAACATTTTGCCATATTTCTCCATATTCCAAAGATGAAATAGTTCTCATTTCGTAGCGCTTATTATGACCAACTCATTCACAATTTCGAAAATTTTCCCTGCCATTAAGTTTCAAGGGCATTTGAGTTTCGTCTTGTTGGTTATTTTAACGACTTTAACGCTTGCCTCCAATTACCTGCCTTACCTCATTTAACATGCGTATCGCATATATGCGTTTGGGTTAATCATTCATAACGGGTCGCGTTCGGTGTGAGCACTTAAGGCAACGTTTCCTACAGAGGAAGTAGTGCTACATACACTCTTGTGCTCTACGAGTTTTGGGCGAATTTTAGCACAGCTCTGGCACATTAGACGAATTATCTTAGTTGTTTGCTTGAGCTTATCTAACTGTTATATCTGTAGACGTAGAATTTGTGTAGAATGCTGATTCGTTATCTTGTTATCTCATTTCAAATATTTGCACAGCTTGTGCTTGTTTGGCTTTGTGGCGAATATGCTAATAGCAGCAAAAAGATGCTAGCCTAAAATTTGCATTGCGTATACGCACAGTTGTGCAGCTTGCAGCTGTGACACAGTTAATTGCACACACAAAGACTCTCTCTCTCGCTCTCTTTCTTTCTGCCTCTCTCTCTCTCTCTCTAAATGCTGTGCAGCCTCTTTTATTGTTTGTTTGTTCTGTATGGGGTCACACAACTGAGGCGTGGGCGTTGCTGAAAACTGTTACAAGGTTGTGTCAGCAATTGACAACTTATCAACACGCCGTCCGCCCTCCTCCTCTGCTCTGCTCTGCTCCGTTTACCACATTCCAGTTTTGATTTTTTGTAGTGGCAAAGCGTTTAGCAATTCAAGTGGCTGCAGCCACAAATTGACCGGAGGCTGCCGTCCGAATGGCGTTCTTAACCCCAATCGGACGTGAACGTGGACGGACATGTGGCAACAGATTTAGCGCTTTGCTAAGTTCTATTCTTCTTTATTCTCTTGTTGTGGCTGTTCTTCTTTTCTATGCTATTTTTTGCGAGTTGAGACATGTAAAAAACTGAACAAAAACTTAGCCGGGCCACAGGCAATGCTTGCCAAATGATTTTTCTTATTTATAAATGCGCCATTTGCTGGCTACACATTCTGTCTGTGTATGTGAGTGTGTCAGTGTGTGTGTGTGTGTGTGTGTGTGTGTGTGTGTGTGTGTGTGTTTTGTGCTCTTAGTGCTAAGTGCCAATGAAATATGTTGCCACTACAGTGGTAATTGGGCTTGGATTACGTACGTGGTCGGGCTTGAAAAGAGCAAATGCCCACACTTGAAGTCACTTTAAGCTATGACCTTGGTCTACACCCGCCCACGCCAATACACATGCATACATACACTTGCTTTGAATTGGGTTTTTCATTCAATTTTAATTCACTTGCAGATTCTACAAAATTTGGGCAAAGTTGATCGCACCGCAGATGAGATCTTTGATGATCATTTGAATAATTTCAATCGCCAGCAAACAAATGCCAACAAATTACAAAAGGAGTTCAATAACTACATAAGATGCATACGCGGTAAGCCATTAACTTCCCATTCAATTAAAAATTATAATTCATATTCTTAAAAATAATATAATTGACAGCCGCACAAACCGCCTCAAAGTCGCTGATGGATGCCGTGTGTGAAGTCTATGAGCCACAATGGAGCGGCTACGATGCTCTGCTAGCACAAAGCGCCGCCTCGGAGAGCTTGTGGCTGGACTTTGCACACAAACTGGGTGATCAGGTGCTGATACCGCTGAACACATACACCGGACAGTTTCCCGAAATGAAGAAGAAGGTGGAGAAACGCAATCGCAAGCTCATTGACTACGATGGCCAACGTCACTCGTTCCAGAATCTGCAGGCCAATGCCAACAAGCGCAAGGATGATGTTAAGGTAGGCTCAGAAATAATTGACCAAAATGAATATTTATGTGTAGGCTGTATAGCCTTGCATAAATGTAATTGGCTTCTTACATTCATTAATTGTTTTGCTTCTAATTTCCTACAGCTAACCAAAGGTCGTGAGCAATTGGAGGAGGCACGTCGCACCTACGAAATTTTGAATACGGAACTGCACGACGAGTTGCCCGCCCTCTACGACTCGAGAATATTATTTTTGGTTACCAATTTGCAGACACTGTTCGCCACCGAGCAAGTGTTCCACAATGAAACGGCCAAGGTATGAGCCGAGAGATAATCGTATAAATCCAATACTAATTACTTCAATATCTCTTTTAGATCTATGCGGAACTTGAGGCAATTGTTGATAAACTGGCTACAGAATCGCAGCGCGGCTCAAATACGCTGCGCAAGCAAGCAAGTAAGCAGACCCTGAATAAATTCATATCATTTATGCATGTTAAAAATTGTTGTTTTTGTTCGATTGTCACACAGTAAATGCCATCAAGACGTCGAGTCCAGTGCAATCGCCAGTGAACAAATTGAATAATGCCAATGCCAACAATAGCAACTATCAGAATCAAATAACCACAAACGGCGGCTCCAGCCTGGCCAACAGTCGTAAGTAGTAGACGCCCTTGAGGTGCTCTGTCTCTCTCACCCTCTCATCTGTAATCGATTAATTTTCAATATTAATTTTTGAATATTTATGAAGTTTTACGCATTTACGTTTTTATTTTGTTTATTCTTTTCGCTTTTCCCCCTTTTTTGTGTTTCAATAAAAACAACAAATCAACCAAATGATAAATTATAAATTGCTCAAAACTGTAAAAAAAAAATTCCATTACATATCGCCAAAGTGTAAAATAAATTCCCAATTATTAATATATGTATAAACCCAAAAAAAGAACTCAATATTATACACAATATATAAAATATTTGTATATATTTCATATATTATTATATATCTTATGCGCCCATTTTATATTTTTTATGCAAAATTTGAAGGCGTTTTTTGAAGTTTTTTTTTTTAGTTTTTGGCAATTTATAAAGACAAAATTTTTATTTAGTTGTCGCCAACTAATTTGATGAACTTTCAACATTCCAATTGTTAGAGGGCTAAATTTTTGTCATTTGTAGTTTGTATACAATTTTGCTATGTAAATATTTGGCAAAAGATTTTGTTTATTGGTCTGGTCTTATTAATTAGTTAATAATTGATGCACTGTAATGGAAAACAATATTTGAATATCTATATTTTGTTGAATCGAATCGTGGGCCGCCAAAACAAATGGAATGTTGTCAGTTGTGCTTTTTCTTTTCGCAATCTGAACAACAACAAGATTTACCCAATGTGCCCTTAACAATGCATGTGTTGAGTTATATTTTTACTTTTTCTCTCTTCTTTTATGAATTAAACCAATGTATTGTTTTTGTTGGAATGATGCTAACCCTGCCCAAAAATAAAACAAATAAATTAACAACAACCACCACACATTTAATAAAAAAACAAAACATACAACAAAATCAATATCAACGTATAAAACAATACCAAAAAAATAAAACCACACACACACGCATCAATATATAAAATAAAAACAAAACAAACAAAAAATAGCAACATCCACAAGCTCGTCAATGCTTGAGCCACGATTTGATTCAGTTTCTTCAACGCCAGAGCCGACGCCTGAGTCGGCACAGCTTTCAGACAGCCCCGTGCAGCAGCTGGAGAGGGCAGCCGCAGGAGCAGCGGCAACTAATGGCATCAGCACCACAATAACCACAACAACAAAGCTGGTGGAGACCGCTGAGCTGAGCAGCCCCAATGCGAACACAACAAAAACAACAACGACCACAACCACAACAGAGGAATCAACCAGTGAAATGGCAGCTAATGGTAAAGAGACAACGACAACAACCACAACAACAACAACAGCAGGAGCAGCAGCGCCGGCCGCATCAAATGGCAACAACAATGAAGTGGCAGCAGCACCACCCACAGCCACTAGCACCAACAGCAACTCCACCACCACTACCACTACGGCAAAAGAGCCCGGCAAGCAGCCGAAAGAGCTGCCGGATGGTCAGTCGAATGCCAATGGCAATTCGAGTTCGCTTGAGGAGCACAAGCAAAAGAAATTAGGTAAAGAAACAACAACAACAAACACAAATACAACGCACTCAGTTACAGATACAGAAACAGTTAGCCTTATCCAAAACCAATTAGTTAATAGCCAAACTGTTAATAAGCATTCTAATAAAAATCCCTTCGACGAAGATGACGAGCGCATCTACGAAGTGCCCAAGGGTGAGTAAGCTCCCACAATCTACGAACAAAAACTTCAAACTGGGTCTGTCTGTGCATTTACTTCTCTACACACTTGTGTCTGTCTGTCGTTTTGCTGTCTCTCGTTGGGCGCCAACCACCAAAATCCACCAAACAATCAAACCACCCACTCACTCACTCAACAACAAGAAACACTCAAACAATTTTTGAAAGTCTCTGTATACTCTATATATACTATACTGAATGGATTCACTTGGTTGCCCGATAGAGCCTGAGAGCGTCTGACAGCGGCTTGTCTATTGTACTATATTGTATCTCTAAAAAGCTTCAGTTTCTGTTGATGATGTCCTGTATCTGTACTTCGTAAACTTAACCGCAAATTGTAAACAACTGGGCCAAAGCATGTGCGTTTCGGGCGAATCAATAATTTATATATATATAATATTCGATTCTCAGGCAGTCATCAGCCTTGCGAGTCTACATTTAGCGGTGCCTTTTCATACAAGTATATAAATAAATCTCGCATCATTTTATTACACAACTTGGATTGCAAAGTAAACAGCTGTTAAGATTTGAATTTCGGTTACAGCTCTGTAGAGTTAACATACAACTTGAAGATTACTTGTGTGACGCCGTCTAACCATAGATGGCGCTAGCTGGCAACTGTTTACTTTGAAATGCACCTTGAGCACATTCACCACAATTATCTGTTTCACGCGACTCATCTGTCTACTATTCTTAGATTATATGCTTGTATATATCGTTGTCACACACAAAGCAATGGGATATACAAACTGTAGAAATAAATTTTTAAGGCTGCTCTAAATTTTAAGTGGGAATTGTTGGTAATAAAATGTAAACAAATGGAAAAAAGAAACACTGGTTGCAGGTGTCTATCAGCAAGTAGGCTCTCTAGTCTTAAGTCGTACTCACTCATTTGATCATTAAACAAACAAACATCGCTTGCACGTTCGCTGCCTAAGTCTTTTGTTTAATCGATGGAGCTAATTGCCGACGTAATAATACCTAAAAGCTACCTATTAAACCCGACTAACCCAAATAGGCTGCGAGTTGTGTTTTTTTTTTTAAATTACATATATTAACAGCAAGTTCTGTTCTTGCCTATGCGTTTTGTGCACTAAAAACAGAGTTTATGCATATCTATATCTATATATAAGAACAATGTAATTGTACAGCAATCGATGCTACTTAATGACAAATCATTTCTGAATCGAGAGTATAAATTGAACTGGAACTTTATTCACAGATGCCAATACCGCTGATTTGCCACCTGGTGTGCTATATCGCGTTAAGGCGACCTATGGCTACGTCAAGGAGGATGTCGACGAGCTGAGCTTCGAGATTGGTGACATCATACGCGTCATCGAGTACGATGATCCCGAGGATCAGGTAAAACTATTTTCGTTGCCACACGATGAAATTGTTGTTAAGACTTAAGAGAATCCCTGTTTGTGAGTTAAAGCATGCGCTAGTTGCCCCTCCGAGTGTTATGATCGAGAATTTCATTACTTGTTTTTATTGAATACAGTTTTTTATTACCAATTTGCAGGAGGAGGGCTGGCTAATGGGTCAAAAGGAAGGCACAAACGAGAAGGGCCTGTTTCCGGCCAACTTTACGCGTCCCATTTGAAAAGCTGACGCAGCGACGATGACGGGATAAATTCAAAGCAACTAAATAAACAACATGCAATAACTACAACAACAAGAACCAGAACAACACCAACAAGAACACCAACTTCAGCCCCCTATTTTTGTTATACAACTTATATATACAAAAAAAAAAAAAAAAAAAAAAAAAACACAGTTTTTACATACATATTATACAAATTTTTAAGAACGAACTTAAATACTTTCGGCCAAATTTTCACACAGCGCTGCATCGCCTTATATATAAATATATTTTTTTTCTCCTGTCCATAAGCTCCACTAGCTGGGGTCATGATTTTTGTAAAATTAACTGTTTGGATTAATTTGTAATTCGTACTTGAATAAACAGTCGTGTATTTGTTAGAGCAGTGCTTCCAAACATTATTTTAAATATAATTATTATTACTATTACTCTTCTTATTGTTGAGAGAAATGATTGCACATACAAAATATTTTGAAAATGTTTCATAAATATTATTTTCCTAGTTGTAAGAGAGATAAACACAAACACAGACATAAACGCATACACACACATATATATATACACACACACACGTAAAAAATATTTGTTAAATCTATTATTGTGCTCATAATTAAAACGAACAAAATGTATCTAAATTATAATTTGTTAGAAAACCAAAAGGTACAGACGAACAAGTTAACGCATATCACTCGATGAGGACCATGTTTCAAACATCTGCGAGTCGAGAGGAAGATAGCCTTTTGTATATGTATGTACATGTAGTACGAGTTTTTTTGATAGTCAATTGAATGTTTTGTTTTATTTTTCTTTTATTGGAGAGAAGAAACGACATTAAATTGCTTTAATTCAATTAAATTAAAATATAAAATTTGTAGCTGTTATTTAGTTGAAAAGAAAAACCGAGCGAAATTCTCGAAATACATAGCAAGAACAGGCAGCCTTATAACATTGAGAAGAAGCCAACCAATAGTCACTAACAGATCCATAAACCCTTATTATAATCTTGTAAAACAAATCGAATAAATTAATGATAACCAACCAGTTTGAAGTTTGTTGGCGCCAATAGAATCGAGAAGCACAGAGAACCGAAATACACAATTTTTGTTTTTCTAATCTGTACTGTAAAGTTATTATATTAATATTATTTAATTAATTTAAACATTTATTTATCGCATGAATACATTGAACAAATGATAATAATTTACAGCAAATCAAATAAAACATAGATTAAACAAMATATCAGCGTCTATTTATTAAAGAGAAAACGAATCTTTAGGAGCTTCTCTTGTACAGTCTTCATAGTCTTACACTCTTCAAGCTAAAATAACGTATTTTGAAATATGCAGTAGATGAGCATAAATCATATTTGAAATAATATCGATAGTTACTTTACTTCAATTTGTTTGTGCTGGTCACCCATATTAAATGATTTCCTAAAAGCTGGTCCCATTATTTGAATATTGTTATCAATATTTATTCGATATAAAATCGATATTTAGTTGCCTGCTGTGGCATTGCTGAAAATTCTAGTAGCAGCCCTGGTAAAAGTGAACGTATGACGTCAAAAATTCTGCGCAATCGAAATTGCGCACATCTAAGTGCTACCTTGTAAATTTCATGCAATCATGCTCCTATGTCGGTGACTCTTTCGTGTGTGTTGGTGTTGCGTTAATAAAAAAGTGTAAATACTTAAGAAAATTTAAGAGTTGACAAAGCAAAAAAGTCACTACGGGTCGTGTGTTAACGTTAACCGAACAATGCAAAATCAAATATGTTGTGAGTTTCAATCGAATATCGACGCACCGACAAAATCCAGCAGCAGCAATAGTGGCCAATTCTAAAATACCATCCCCAACTCACTTGGAGTTCATTCAGTTTAATTTAAAATTTGGGCGTAGTTTTGCGCGGGTAGATACCTAATGAAATCGTGAGCATAGGAAAAAATAATGGCACATAATTGTTAAACAATTCGGCGTGCCAGAATCGACAATTTTTCTGGCCAAAATTTTTTCATGTTCGTTTTTGCCTCGCCCTCGCTCTGTGTGTATAGCAGTGCGCGTGTGTGTATAGAGGTGCGAGCGAAACAGATATACAGCTACAGGGCACTATCTATCTATCCTATCAGTGATATCTGTATGTCTTATTTGCATTGTGCACTTATGCTTATGTTGCTCATTGAGCACATTTCATTTGTTAAATAATTGCATTTCGTGTTTAATTTATTTGCACTTGTCATCAAGCGCAGATGCCCATGCAATTGCTAACGTTTGCACAGCCAATTTTAGCGGTGACAACACTGCAGTGCACTGCTTGCCCGAGCAAACAGCATGTTTTTGGCATTATTTAGCACATTTTGCGAACCCGAACCGTAAATTCTATATAATTTTTTTTTTTTTTTTTTTTTTTTTTTTTTTTTTTTACAAAATGCAGTGGGTTCTAAATGGACATAAAAATTTTATGTTACTATGCCCGCATACTGCCAATTTGGAAAACCACACAGTCGTCGTCAGTGTTCGTTAAATCTACTATAGGACCATAACTCCATGTTAATTCTGCATTTAAGCACAAAATAGTTGCTCATAGCAGAACTCTTTGCTATTGGGTGGGGTGCGTGGGAGGATTTYGCTGGTGCGGCTGCTGCTGCTGTTGCTCCATATAAACGAAGTGTTTCCCAATCATACAATGAAAATGTTAATGTATATGTAAATGCAAATGTTCTTTTTATTGCAGTTCCACTGCATACCGGAAAATAAACAAATACAAGAAGCATAAAGTATGCAGAAAATTAAATACAAAAGGAGCATTTAAGTGTTGCTTGTGAAAGAAAAGCAAAAAGCAAAAAATAAGAAATTAACCGTTGTGCTCGTCGTCATAAAAAGTTTTCGTTTTAAATTACCAAATAACAAATTACAAATCTTCGTTGCATTTAAAACAAGAAAAACTAATAAATAACAAGCAGAAAGTGGAACAAGTTACAAAAGCACAAAACTGAACAGACAAATGCAACAGTAAAGAAATTAGTTAAAATAATTATGCATATAAAAACAACTACACACGTTCCTTAAAACTAATGTTTTCCAAACGCAACTAAATCAAACGATAACGATTAACAAAAAAAAAAACAAAAAAAAACAAAATATAAAAACAAAATATAAAAACAAAATAAACGACACGTCGTGAAGCAACGGAAACATCACCTCATAAAGCATAACCACATAGGAATTAAACATACATACATACATACATATACATACGCACATACATACATTCAGACATACTACTTATATGCATAATTTGTACACATATATATATAAATCCAAACAAAAAACGACACCGATTTAAATTAACTGCAGGGAAACAATACGATAAACCAGAAAAGCAAGCAACTTTTTTATTATTATTATTATTTAGTGCTAGTACATAAAACGACCAGAGACTCTAATTTGATTAACAATAAGAAGCTCATCAAGTGAAGCAGCAGCATTTGGATATTCTCGTCTTATAAAGTGCATTCATCGTCATCGTCGTCGTCAATAGCCTGCAGCTTGGCTTCGGTTCATTCATATGTCTCTGCTCATCGGCATACACAACCGTTAGATTAATGCGTAAGTATATATGTATATATGTAGATTTAAAAGCTATGCGTAGTGGGTAGTCAATAGAGATGGTACTTCTATTTAAAGTATTACATTTAATTTAATAACTTTTATTTCCATTTAATCTGATGCCGAGACTTGAAACTTGCTGGAAAACTGAAAAGTTTATCATATCAAAGTTTTGTAGCTCTTCAGAACTTTGTGCAACTTTGTTTCGTCCAGTTTAGCGTATATAGGAATAGTTTATATCTAAGAGTTATGCTACATCTTGGCCACTTGTTGCTAAGCCTTTTGCACAGTTTATGCTATACTTTCATAGGCCTGATAAGAGGTATGAATAATAATGCGGACCTAAGCTATATATATATAAATATATCTTAACGGAAAGTCAGTAATTTATGGCGCAAAATCAATTGATTCTTATAAATAATACGTTTTCTCGCTTGATTATTACATAAATATATTTATATATATCGCTTATGAGTAATGCCGACAATTAACTGAATGCAGTCAGTCAGTCATTTGCTATGATACCCTGTTGCCCTCAAAAGTGGGTGTGGGTGTGGACGTGTATAGGGGTTCGTGGTTGGGTCTAGTATGTTTGACCAGGGAACTTGCGACAAACCTGTTGAAATTTGTATTTATTTGGCTTGGCGTATTCGTGTTGGTGTTGGTGTTTATAGGGCGAGGATGAGGTGGCGACCAACAGTATAGTCTGTATATATGCAATCATATAAAATTGCTGAACCTTTTTAACAAGCGACCCGAGCTTCTGCTGAGTGCGCCTTATCAAGCTGCCTCCAACTCATCTAGAAATGTAGAGTTTATCTCAGTTTCTTTATCGGACTAGTGCTACTGTTTGTTGTCTAATGTGCCTGATAATCGCTTCACCCACTTATTCTCTCTGAGTTGACTTTGATTTATAAACTATGCAGTGCGTATATACGGTGGAATACCCTGCTTTTTTTTTTAATAATTTAAAGTAACTGCATTGTTTATTATCTACAAAATGCCTATAGACACGATCTTTCCTTCTTTTTTTTTGTTTTTGGCATGTAGTATGGCAATTAATTTGCTTTTTTATGTTGCCAGTTTCCGAAAACAATTTAAATTGTTTACATGCTTATTACGTGCAGTGGGCGCTTCTGGAATGCCTAGCGAAATAGTTTGGGAACATCGCTTCATGATTTTTTTTTCTTTTTTGGTAATTTAATAATTTTTGCCCGTTGCACGCAGACAAAAACACAGACAAACAAAACAAAAAGTGTAATCAACCTTTTTGTGTGTATATATAGTATGTATAAACATTATATATATGTGAGTATGTATGTATATGTGCATTAATGTGTATAAACGAGTATTGCTCATATGCTTGGCCACATTTGTATGTACATATATAAAAACCGCATTACTCTACTTACTTATTGGAAACCACATATAATTCTAGAAATTCGGAATTATAAATATCAGTTATGAATAAGAGCTATTTACAATGTGTACAAAACATAACACAGCTATGGAATGTAAATGGAAATTAGCATTACGCCGATCATGCTTACAGCCTATGATCAGTGTTGTGGGAAAATCAGCCGAGTTATATCCAGAATTTCCTAGCCTAAGGCAAGGCCAATGTGCATGGGCATGATAATTCGCAAGATCTTGTGAAAGTTTTGTTTTTACGTCCACTTGACATAGCTTGATAAATTTGTTAAAGTACTGATAATTGAGATTTCTTGTAGTGCTCGAAAAAGAAAACAAAAGAAAACAATATTTTATAATATGATTCAGAGCCTTAATGTAAACTAAGTTAATATAGTAAAATATTTAAAAGGAAATATTAATTAAATTGCTTGGTTTATTCCATTTCAGGTGTTTATGAACAGGCGGATTACTACGTGAATCTGTTCAAGTCGTCGTGTTCGATGTGGTCATCGTATTTGTACTCCTCATTGTCAGAGAGATGCACCAAAGTCTGTTTAGGAAGATAGTAAACTGAGTACTGAATACCAACAACGGAACAGAGTAACCCCCGCAGAACGACACATATACAGACACACACACACG